ACCCTAAAACCTTTTCTTGTCAATAGATTTAATAAAAACGATAATAAGCATTTTCTTTTTAATTGTCACTTTATATATACACTTATCTATTAATTAAGTTTTCATATGAACTAGGTAAAACTCGTGTATTACACGGATTGATTAAAAAATGATTAAATTCAAATTCTAAACAATATATTTTTTAAAATTAAATTTCGAAATAAAAAATGATTAATTGCAATTTCTTCTGATATTTATTAAGTTTAATACTTTGCATATATAAATATAAGTATTATGTGGCTTTTTAATTTTAAAAATTAAAAAAAAAACTGAAATTGACATGTAAATATTATTTAGTTCAAAAATATTGATAAGTATCAAAAGTCAGAGGTTGACACGTAACAAAATAGATTTTCATTTATATAGTATATATTATTTCCTATAAATAAATTTGGTTTTACCTTTCTAGTTTCTACATTTAGATACTTATAAATAGTAACTGCTGTAATGATACAGATATGAGCGAGATAACAAATGGGTACTTAGAGACAAACTTAGATTGGATTCCTGGAATGAATAACATCCAATTAAAGGATTTCCCCAGTTTCATTCGAACCACAGACATGCACGACACCATGTTGAACTATCTCATCACCGAAACTGCAGCTATCCCTAGCGGCTCCGCTGTGGTGCTCAACACTTTCGATGCTTTAGAACAAGATAGTGTTAACCCTTTAATTGCCTTAAATCCAAGAACCTTCACCATAGGCCCACTACACTTGATGCAACAACATATTGAAAATGACCGAGTCAAACACATTGGCTCCAACCTCTGGAAGGAAGATGAGAGTTGCATCAGTTGGCTTGACACAAAAGACCCTGGTTCAGTTGTTTACGTTAACTTTGGAAGCATTACAGTCATGACAAAAGAACAACTCATCGAGTTTGGGTGGGGACTGGCGAATAGCAAGAAAGATTTCTTGTGGATTACAAGGCCCGACATTGTCGGAGGCGATGAGGCCATGATGCCACCGGAGTTTGTTGACGAGACAAAAGGGAGAGGCATGGTGACTAGTTGGTGCCCTCAAGAACAGGTGATGTTTATTCTTTCTAATCACTGAGTAATAAAACCAAAACTATATACAAAATATTTAAATAGTTCAGAAGCATCATTTAAGAAGGAGTTCAAGATTTAGCCTTGATGGAAATATGCTTACCATATCACGCATAAATTTAAATCTGTCACTAAAAAGTTTCTTTATTGGTCTATATTTGAAGGTTTTAAAGCACCCAGCAATTGGAGCATTCTTGACTCATAGTGGATGGAACTCGACTATTGAGAGTATTAGCAGCGGTGTTCCAGTGATTTGTTGGCCGTTTTTTGCAGAGCAACAAACGAATTGTCGTTATAGTTGTGTAGAATGGGGGATTGGAATGGAAATTGATTCCAATGTAAAGAGAGAGGAGGTGGAAGCTCAGGTGAGGGAGATGATGGATGGGAAGAAAGGGAAAATGATGAAACATAAGGCTTTGGAATGGAAGAAGAAAGCGGAAGAAGCAGTTGCTATTGAGGGGTCGTCTTATCTCAACTTTGATAAATTAGTTACTGAGGTTCTCTTGAGAAAGTGAAGTCAATATTCAATTCTAATAGTTATTAATATCGTCATAAAAAGTATTGGAAACTTTACTTGGTATTGACTTAAAAAAGAGGTCAACGTAACTAGACATTTACTACGTACAACATGTATGTCTTTGGTTCACACAATTTGTAAAGATTATGAGAAAAAAATATGATTGTTTATTTTTAGCGTTAAAGACAATATTATTAATAGATGATATCATCTGACTTGATTCGGAAACCCAGGTACATGAAGGATAAAAAAAGGGATCAACTTGCATTTGTTGAATATTTAATCAAGATATAGAGCAATTATGCACCACAACAATCCTGATAAAATATCTGTTTCCTTTTCTAATTTTGTAAATTATATATGTTCATCTGTTTTCCTTTCTAACTTTGTAAATTATATATGTTCGAAATCATGATACACAATCCCCTAATTCATGTGATCTAAATATCTAGTTGTTGTTGAAAAATAAGTATGTAAATTTAAATATCAAGAAAACAAATGTATCGTTCCAAATAAAAATAATGTATCACAATACAATTCCCTTTTTGCTCTCTCCTAAGCTATAAATACAGGCAACCACTCTTCCCTTCTACCCGCTTCCAGCTCAATTATAATATCACCGTAGCTACACACAAATACACAAACACACATACACAGAGCATTAAATGGGTACCATTGGAGCAATGGAAAAGCCACATGCCATATGTATCCCCTATCCAGCACAAGGCCACATCAATCCCATGATGAAACTTGCGAAGCTCCTTCACTTTAAGGGCTTCCATATCTCCTTCGTCAACACCCACTACAACCATAAGCGCCTGCTCCGATCCCGAGGTCCTTCCTCCCTCGACGGCCTCCCAGATTTTCGTTTTCACTCCATTCCCGATGGTCTTCCGCCATCTGACGCAGAAGCCACCCAGTCAATCCCTGACCTCTGTGAATCTGTTCCTAAACACAGTCTGGAACCATTCTGTGAGCTGATTACCAAGCTTAACTGTGTGCTGCCGGTGAGCTGTATAATTTCCGACGGATGCATGAGCTTTACACTTGAAGCTGCAAAGAGATTTGGGCTGCCTGAGGTGCTATTCTGGACGACAAGTGCTTGTGGGCTTTTGGCTTACACTCACTATCGCGAATTTGTTCGAAAGGAGTATACTCCGCTCAAAGGTAAAACCATAAATTAAAGTACTGTTTCTGTTCTCATATATTTCTTCCTTTTCTCGGTTTTTTATATAATCTTCATTTTTTGTAGTTATAATAAACTTAAGGTTTAGATAAATAACGTTAAATTTTGTGTATGCATGATGGTCTTTGATTTGTTGCGAACATCGAAATCTTTTTAATATTTAATTATAGGGTGTTTGGGATTGTTTTTCTAACTTATTAAAAAAAATCAAATATTTATTACACATTTTCATTAAAGAAAAATAAAATATTAAATGTAATTAATAAGTATTTTTTAAAATAAAATTTCGATATAAGAAATGAAGAAACATATTAATTGCAATTTAGTATAATATTTATTACATTTGATAATTTACATATATAGGTATAAGTTTATGCGACTTTTTAATTTTAAAAATTGCAAAAAACCATAAATTGACATGTGGATATTGTTTATTTGAAAAAATCACAAAATAACAACTGTCAAAACTTATTAGAGATTGACATATGACAAAATTATTTTCATTTATTATAGTAGATTTTAGATTGTGATACAAGATTATATTTCTATTATGATATCTGTCATATTTAATTAAATTAATATTTTTTTTTATGTTTGATATCATCTAAAAATGATAGAAGCATAGGTATGAATAAAAATTAAGAAGGGTATTTAATTTGCCTATTAAAAAAATGTTTGACAAATTTAGAAGTATTTTTTGAAAACAATTTTTAATACCTTAAAAAATAGTTATTTAAAGAGTATAGACTTTTTTAATTAACTAATTATGACTTTTTAGATAAAATGTTTATATTATCTTTAATGAACTTTTTGATTTTTCGTTTTCGTTACTTCCCTTTTCTTATGCACCTTTTAGTCATTTACAATTATAAAGTTTTTTCCACAATTCCAACATTAAAATAAAATTAAAAAAAAAATTGACATCCTCATAAGTATTTTCAAAAAACAATCACAAACAAGTAGATGAAACAAGCTAGTATAATGTGGCTAATATAAACATTTTTAATAGCTGGTTGTTATTTTCAACAAAATTTCATGTAGTTTTATAAAAAAAAAAATCCAGAATAAAAAAAAACATGTTCAATTTATATGACATGGTTTTGTCCACTCTAAATTTATTTATTTATATTTTTGGAAAAAAAAACAAAGAAAGAAAATGCACGTACGTTTTCACCATAAAAATCGCAATTATTGTCATTTATTTCACATAACCCATTAATTGGACCACTATTTTGGATCTTAATTGAATTCTTTTGTCCCTTATCTATATATGGTTGAAAATCTAGGTTATCATTATCTATATATGGTTGAAAATCTAGGTGATCAAATCATTGAAAGATTATTGTGAAATGTTAGAAAGTCTAGAATTTATTTGAATTATATCAAAGGGTTTCTAGTTCAACGGTATCAGATGTTGCCCTTCTTCCTTAAGGTTGAGTAACGGTGAGGGTTCAAATCTCGTTGGAGACATAGGTGGATTTAGGAATAGTTTATGATTATACTGTATTTACCGTTTAAAAAAAATTAAATTAAATTAAAAATGTAAGATATATATCATGATTTTACTAATTACAAAAATAGTCTTTCGTAGACATTTCTTTTTAATTGCACATCAGGATCAGGATATATAATATATTATCCTCAATATTTGGCTTAGATGATTATGTGTTAAATTGGATATCATAAACTTTCTACAAATAATTACTCAACACTAATTTGATATATTGCTTTTAGACTATTATTTATTTTATTTTGTATAATATTTCTGAATTTCACTTTATTTAATTACTCAATGCTAGTTATCTCACGTATCTGAATGTTAACTAGATATGAGCTACGTAACAAATGGATATTTAGAAACAACGTTAGATTGGGTTCCTGGGATGAAAAACATCAAATTAAGGGACTTCCCAAGCTTCATTCGAACCACAGATATAAACGACATCATGCTCAACTATCTCATGACGGAAGCTGAGACTCTCCCTAGAGGCTCTGCTGTGGTCCTTAACACATTTGATGCCTTAGAACAAGACAGCGTTAATCCCATACTTGCCATGAACCCACGAACATTCACCATAGGCCCACTTCACCTGATGCAAGAACATGTGCATGATGAACGACTCAAACAAATTGGGTCCAATCTGTGGAAGGAAGATGTGAGCTGCATCAATTGGCTTGACACGAAAGATCCTGGATCAGTTGTTTTTGTCAACTTTGGAAGTATTACAGTTATGACGAAAGAACAACTCACTGAGTTTGGGTGGGGACTTGCTAATAGCAAGAAGGATTTCTTGTGGGTAACGAGGCCAGACATCGTGGGTGGCAATGAAGCCATGATGCCACCTGAATTCGTTGATGAGACCAAAGAGAGAGCCATGATGACCAGTTGGTGCCCTCAAGAACAGGTACTACAGACAAAATATATGTTCTAGAGTATAAAAAGTAATAGTATTAGTAGATAAATTACATATCTATAAGTTTTTTGTTACCACTTAGTTTCTTCGATATAAAAGTGAATAAGACGATAAACGATCACGTACCATCATGATTCTTATCCATGTTGGTATTCAACAAATAAAACAAAAAGAACCATCTCGTTGAAAAAGAAACAGGACAAAAAACGGCGACCCCATTGCAAATTGTGATTTGTGACATCAACTTTGTTTCGGAATTACACATGCAATACTAGAAAAGTAAATAAAAAAAAATAAGAAGAATAAATTAAGGAGAGTACTTAAGTCATCATATACCAAACGGCTTCTAGCCCAGCGGTACCCGTGTTGCCCTCCCTCCTAGAGGTTGAGGGTTCAAGTTTTATTGGAGACATAGGTGGTATTAGGAGTAGTGTAGATTTGCCGTTCTATTAAAAAA